CGAGAGCCCCTCGTATATCTCCCTAATTGGTGTACTTATATCTTATCTTTATAAACAAACCCATATTATAAATTCTTGTTTGTGCCCTTCAGGCATCAGTTTTACATCAGCTATTACTTTAGGTTACATCTATTAGTCAATCGCTTGTAAGCTCACGTAGTCTTAGGTGTGGTAACAAAACCATTGTTGCCTGAAACGATACTTGTACTTTAAGGGACCTCGGTTGGCCGCGTGGGTCAGAGTGTCGTGCTACTGATCAGCCGGCCGGCCGGGCCGCGAGTTCGAATCTCGCCTTCGCCATGGATGTTGTGTGTTTGTTTTAGGCAGCAGCGGTGGCCGCAGTAGTAGACTCTTCGGTCTCCTGATCAGCCGCCGCGCGCTGTGCGGGTTCGAGTCCCGTCCCAGGAGAAATGTTTCTCTTGGCCATGGATGTTGTGATTGTCCGTAGGTGGTAGATGGTCTCTGACTGTCGAACGCGGAGGTACCACCCGGCGGTTCTCGTAGGCGGAGCCAGAATGTGTGCATGTTGCATGCACACGTGTTCCCTCGCCAGAGTCCGTGTCCCCCATTTCCCATGTATCCCCCATAGCCCCACGGTACCCAATGGGTGCTTAGGCCTTAGGCCTTCGTGGAAGTTGGAGTATAAAAAAAAAAAGTAAATAAAGTGTATCAAATCGCCTGTGAAACGTTTTTTAAAAACGCAAACTCGCGACGCGATACCTAAATTTCATTATGCTGTGTAAGTAATTTTTTTTGTGCAACAATATTGTGAAGACATATATCATGTTTTAGTGTAATCGATAAGATGATATGACACTTTACAATCCCAGGATTAAGATTCAGTAAAACAGTGATGATCTTAACCTTGATACCCATTATTTTTCCGACGTATATAGTTACAATGATATTTGCATCTTTTAATATTTCCTTTAAAAAAAGTTAATAAAAGGATTCTGTCTATCCGTTCAAAAAGTAAAAATCGCCAAAATGTCAGTTACAACGTTATTAGATGCATGTATCGAAATGTTCGATAGCCTTTCAACAAGCAACGGTCAGCGCCGTATGGTTCTTGACGGTCAGGTTTTGTTTCTTACTCTTTATCGCATCGCATCGACAACGGTGAAAGGTCCCTAACACGACTGGCCCAAAAGTGTCTCATCTCATTATACGGTAGCGGTAACGTCATATCCCATCTGGGCCGAATGGGACGGGGATAGATATACGGCCCGAGTATATTTTCATTAAATCCTGCTCTCGGATGATAAGTAGACATGTTTAGCGGACGACCAAGCGACTGCTCTGAACGAATATAAATATGTGCTCGTAAATATATCGACCAGGCATTTCTGCCCGACTAACTAGCGACACTTAAAATGTCTTCACAGCGAACAATTCCAATTTCCTGCCATCACAAAGAAACAGAGAGGATGGAGGCGAAAACTAGATGTAGACTTGTGAGATGTCTAAGGGCGCCTTGGCGGAGATCTCTTCTATGCTCATGCAGAATATATGTCGTGACCATATCGTAAAATTGACCCTTATACGAAATAATCAAGCATTTCGTGAAATGATCTCACCATCATTATCCATTGAGTGAATGAATCTTGAATTTTAGAGGCATCCCGGCCACCATAAGGAGCCAGTGCATAGGCCGCTTAAGCGGGCCCTTATGCACCTCTACAATACTTAAATCACAAGCCTCGCCCTTTTAGCGAAGTTGAGAATCGCCTTGAGTCCAAGCTCCTTTACGTCCTGAGGGTCCAAAGTAATGGACCCCAGTATAGTCTGCCTATAGTAGCTCAGAGCTTCACAGCGACACAAAACGTGCGCCGAGGTCTCTTCCTCTACTCCGCAGTGTTCGCACAAGGGATCCTCAGCCACCCCCATCACGTGCAGGTGCCGCCTTAACGTGTTATGGCCAGACAACAGTCCCACCAGCAACCTTAGGTTGGCTCTACCCAGAGATAGGCAGAAGCGTCCATCCTTAGCACTGGGCCCTTCAATGAGCTCTCGTGCCTGGCGGAGATGTCTAGAGATACTTCTCCATTTCTGAGAGTGTTGTCTTGCAACCCACGTCTCCATTTTCCTCCTAGCTTTATGCGCGGTTACTCCTAGAGCTGGCTGAGGACCAACGAGCTTGCTGGCTGATCCTGTTTTCGCCAGAGTGTCCGCCGTCTCATTGCCCCTTATCCCAGCGTGCCCCGGTACCCATATTAACGATACCGGATGCCTCGCTGCGAGGCAATCCAGAGCCTCCCTGCATTGCAATACAAGACTCGAAGTAATCTTACAGGCACTTAGTGCTTTCATTGCAGCCTAGCTGTCGGATAAGATTGTTATTCTTCTCCTAGGCCCACCCTCCTCCAGAATGTGAGATACACAAGCCAGAATCGCAAAGATTTCCGCCTGGAAAATGGTGGTGTACTCACCGAGAGGCAGAGATAGCCTAGTTCTAGGTCCAGAGACCCCAGCACCTGAGCCCTCTTCGGTGACCGAGCCGTCCGTGTACCAGACCTGCCCGCTCACTTCGGAGAGTCCTCGGCTACCGGCGTCCCACTCCTCCCTCGTTGGGTACTCCACAATAAACTTGCGGTTGAAGCGATATTTAGGGGTAATACGATCACCCCTGCTTAGAAGGACGGGGTCCTCCCTTTCTAATTCGACTAAGATGGCAGTATGCCCCTTGACCGGATTCAAGAAAGCCCAGCTGCCCTGACTCCACAGTCGATGAGCGACTACTCTCGCTTCACCGCGGATCACCAGATCCAACGGTGGGAGATCCAACAGAGCTTCCATTGCACTCAATGGCGTTGTTCGCACTGCGCTTGTAATGCTAATACAGGCCAAACGCTGAATTTTATTGAGTTTGGCCTTAGTTGACTCAGTTCTAATGCAAGGCCACCAGACCAGGGAGCCGTACAAGAGAGATGGACGTACTATCGTCGTGTAGAGCCAGTATACCACTTTGGGTTTAAGCCCCCACCTTACACCGACAACACGTCTACAAGCCCACATCGAATTGCGAGCCTTGCTAACCTTGTGTTCCACATGCTCTCTCCAGTTCAGTTTGCAGTCCAGGATAATTCCCAGATATTTCACTGACTGGGACAAAACTAATCTAGTCCCAAAGAAGGTCGGCATGACCAGTCCGTCAAGCCTTCTTCTCCTAGTGAATAGGATCAGCTCGGTCTTTTCAGCATTAACAGAAAGATCGACTTCCCTACACCACGATTCCACGGAGCGCAGAGCGCCCTGCATAATTTCCGAGACTGTTCTACAGAAACGCCCCCTAACCACTATGCTTACGTCATCAGCATAGGCTTGCGCGTAGACACCCATACTGCTGAGCCTAACGAGCAGTTCGTTCACCACGATACACCACAGTAGGGGTGACAGAACTCCACCCTGAGGGCAGCCTCTAGCTACGTTCACGCTGCAGCTTACGTTATTCAGCATAGCTGTTGTTACCCGACCCTCCAGAGTAGAGAGGACTCAATCTATTAGGATTGATCCAACCCCGTGTCTAACCAAGGCCTGTCTGATAGAGTCGGTTGTGGTGCAATTAAATGCACCTTCAATATCCAAGAAGGCCACGAGTGCCACTTCTCGCTGATCTAGAGTCTTCTCCAGCCTCCCGACCAGATTGTGTAAGGCCAGATCAGTCGATTTTCCAGCTTGGTATGCAAACTGATTTGCATGAATGACACACCTTTCCAGTGGGCCATCCCTTAGGTATCTATCAACTATCCTTTCCAGGGTCTTAAGCACAAAAGATGAAAGAGTAATCGGTCGAAAATCCTTCGGGCCAGTATATCATCATCATTATCCATTGCTCAGATTATTATATGCGTTGACCACGTCAATGATAAACCGTTTAATGACATGAATAGAATAGAATAATGCTTTATTTGTATCAGCCTGTAACTAGGATACAAAACGTCAAAATAAAAAGAAAAGATGTGGATAACTAATATATGACATGAAAGAATTGGGATATAGAAACACATATAAAAATAACGTGTTACTCGCACAAAAATTCATTTGTACTATTAAATGCCTTATTTAGTAAGTTTACTTTTGAACTAAGATAACCTGGTAATCTGCTTAATATTTAAAGGCAATTTAATGTATGTACATGGTACTACATAAATACATCGGACTCTTTTGATAAGCACTAAGGTTAAAATTTTGAATACGAATGTGGGTATTATATCTAGCATTGTAGGCGTGTATTTCACTGCGCTAGGGGATGAAATCTGTAAAATTTTTTATAAAATCTGTTAGACCATCTTCAGCACATAAATGTTTACTCATATTAGATAATAATATTTCACACCGATCTTTGGATGTGTTGGAATATGTTCTGTTCCTCGACATACCACGCATAAATTACAGCCGCTTGATGTTGCGGTATATGGACCCATCGGGAAATATTTTGAAAGAGATGTTGATAAATGGCAGAAACCACATCCTGCACAACATATTACTTTATACGAATTAGGTGCATTATTTGGATCTGCTTCTTTACAAGGCGCTACTCCTCAAAATGCAATAAATGGATTAAAAAAAAACAGGAATATTAGATGGCAGTATTTATGTTTTTAGCACGGACGTATATAAGGGGGGGGTTTTGGGGGTCCGGACCCCCCCCATTCATATCCACCTTACTTGTCCAACAGAAAAAAATTACATGCACCGCGCCGATTGTAATAAACGATAGTTGCTGTGGAGCGTGTCCGTAGGGCGAGTATCGGAAAACGCGATGCGTATGCCCGCGTAGTGCGGGGTGAGGGGGGATGGGCACTTCCCTCGCCACCGTCGCCCGCGCTTCGGCGGCGCGCACCAAACCAAGCTAGTCTAGTAGTCTAGTCCACAGAACTGTCTAGTCTATTTTATCTCTTCGCGTTGACGCGTTGCGCAGTTGTTATAAATACAATATAGAAAGAAGTGTCGCTATGAAACGAACAAATCAGGTATCTCTTTTGGGTTTTTTTTGTAAGAAAGAGAGTCCAAAGCCCAATGAACTTTTGTCAATTGAAGAAGTAGGAATAAATAGAGCGGGGCCATCCACAGATACTGATGACGATGAAGTGAAGAAAGGTAAGTCTCTTATTTATTTAATTAGGAAGAAATCCAGTTATTTGAATTTAATAGACGCTCTAAAAACTTTTATCCTGCTCTTATTTTTATTCCCAGAGAATTTTTGTAAACAATTGTGTTGCCGTGAGCATAAAATATTTGACAAAAATGGTAATTTCAGTGTATATGCGGAATGTACCTAAGTGTCATAAAATCATTTCGCCTTTTAAGAGAAATAGAATTATATTTAACAACTAAGTGGCGCCCGCGACTGTGTTCGCGTAGACTTAATTTTTAGTTGAAAATTCTTATTCCCAACATAACTTTTTAGTTTTTGTCAAATATTTCTTTGTTACAGCCAGGATCGATTTGTGTTCGGCTCCGTCCGCAACCGCAGCCAGGACGGGTTATGATATTGGGAAATACGTATGTCATCCTCCAAGCAATGACGAGGAAAAGCTGAGAGCATTAAAAGAGCCTTGGATTCCTCCGGACACATTTAAATTTCCAGTCACTGACACCGGTAAAAAGAAACTTTCTTTTCAACGCCATTGGACTAACAGGTACTCATGGCTTGTATATTCAAACCTCATGCAGGGAGCACTTTGCAAAGTATGTGTTCTACTTGGAAAAACGCAAGGTGGTCGTGGTCATCAAGAACTTGGAGCCTTTGTTAGTAAGCCATTTATTAACTGGAAGAAAGCTTTAGAGAGCTTTGATCACCATGCAGATACGAAGTATCACAAATTTGCTGTTGAGCAGGCAGCAAATTTTGCAAGGATCATGGAAGGAAAAACGCTTGATGTTACAGAATGCTTAAATGTAGAAAACAATAAAATTGCCGAAGAGAACAGAAAAAGATTAAAAGCCATTGTTGAAACAATTATTCTTTGCGGAAGGCAAGCAATAGCACTAAGAGGAAGTCATGATTCTGGAGAAATTGGGATAAATGAGCCTGAACATAATGATGGTAATTTTAGAGCACTTCTTCGTTTTCGTGCGCGATCTGGCGATGAAGCACTCAAGAATCATTTACTAACACAAAACATTCACAGTAGAGCCATGTATACGTCATCAGTAACTCAAAATGAGGTGATTGAACTATGTGGTAGTGCTATTCAAACGCAAGTACTTAATAGGGTCAAAGAGGCTGGTTTTTTTACTATACTTGCTGATGAAACACAAGACATTTCACGGCGAGAACAATTAGCGTTATGTTTACGATATGTACACTGCTCATCTGGGAAATCGGTTATACGGGAAGATTTTTTAGAATTCATTCACGTAGAAGATGTTTCAGCTCAAGCTTTGGCAACGACTATTATATCACATCTTTTATCATATAACTTGGATATGGATAAATGGATTGGTCAAGGCTATGATGGCGCTGCAGTGATGAGCGGCCGGTTACGGGGCGTAAGAACAATAATCTCAGAGCAATACCCGAAGGCGCAATTCGTACACTGTGTTGCTCATGTCCTTAACTTAGTTTTAGCGCATTCATGTGAGATACCAATGATACGTAACTGTATCGGAACCATTAAGAGCGTAATAAACTTTTTTCGCCAATCACCGCTTCGCGACGGACTTTTGAAGAAAATTGCGGATCAAATTAACTCATCTCATTCAACGCTTATCTCTCTTTGTGAGACAAGATGGACCGAGAAACACGTGGCTGTCGAAAGATTTGCAGAAATGGTTCCCGTTATACGCGAAACACTTGGGGCACTTCAAGATGCTGCAAGCAGCGACGTCGCTACTCAAGCATACCATCTTCAAACCGCTATGGATAACAGCCAGTTTATTGTTTCTTTAGTTATACTGAGAAAAGTTTTTTCATATACAGCAAACCTTAACAAAGCAATGCAGAAAGTCAATGTCGATTTGACCAACATTTGCGAATATACAAAAACGGTAAAAACGACTTTACTAAATGTTCGGAACGAAAGTCAGTTTGCAATCCTTTTTGAGCAAGCGCAGCAGATGAGTTCAGGCGATATAGTCGTGCCAAGAATAACTGGAAGGCAAACCCTGCGCAATAATATTGCAGCAGAAACTGCCGAAATATACTACCGACGAAATGTGTTTTACCCTTTCATTGATCATGTTATTGCAGAACTCGACGCTCGTTTTAAACCACATGAATCGACGATCGAAGGAATTCAAATGCTGTTACCTGAAAAAACTAGTAATGACTCCAGGATAAAAGAAAATCTTGAAAAAATTGCACAAACATTTCTTGGTGGAGAAAATGAAGGCACAATATTTCTGAGTGAATATGAGATATGGCACAATCACTGGAAATCTGTAGCACAAAAACCTGCAACTGTGCTTGACGCTATCGATAACTGCGATGATCAGTTCTTCCCTTCAATAAAAAAGCTTCTAATTATCTTAGCCACACTCCCAGTGTCCACTGCAACCCCTGAAAGATCTTTCTCTACCTTAAAGAGGTTAAAAACTTACCTAAGAAATAAAATGGGCGATGAAAGACTTACTGGTCTGGCTTTAATGAGCGTACACCGAGATCTGGCGGTGCAACTAGATTCCGAAGAAATTATCAATCAGTTAGCAATAAAACGTAAAAGACTAAATTTATTATTTTAAAGTTTCAACTTTGTTACTTTTGAATAAATATTGCAATACATACATTAAACTTTTTATTTAAAGGCACCTACCTAAGTAACCTGAGTTATATATTATAGATTACCCGCGACTATACTTGCGTGTTATAATCGAAATGTTTAATTTGTAAGTAATAGATCCAATTGGCGTTAGAGCTCTGTTTTTTTTTCACTTTGGGGACCCCTCCCTTATCAGAGCTATAGCTACGTCAGTTTTTAGTGACCTGGATTTTGCTCCTTCTCAAGTAACAAACAAGGAATATGATGCCAACGAAACTCAAAACCTTGCCGCTAGTAATGGTCAATCTGCATCTCCAAGTTCACCTGTTGCGTCGTGTTCGAGCCATGAAGAAACACAGCGTAACTTCGAACATCACATATAGCCCTCTGTTCTCTTGAAAATGAGAATCATGTGAATGAGAATCGTTTTTTTCCTGCTCCATCATGCTCCTACCAATCCGCTTACGAAAATTCAAATTACTTTACACCATTAACTGCAATTAAGCCTTTCCCAAAAGTTAAACAGAATGATCCCAAAAGAAAACGCAGAACACAGAAGTCAGAAATTTTAACATCTACACCCATTAAAAAAGAATTAAGAAACCAGAAAAATAAAAAATTACCCAAGACCAAATTGCCAGATGAAATGAAACGTGCAAGGAAACCTAGAAGTTCAAAGTTGGACCAAAATGAATTGCAGTACCGAAAGCCACCGGTACATAGAACGGATCCCAATGAAGAAAATGTACAATGCCTCGTCTGCGGAGATATTTTTGGCAACTCTAAGTCTGGCGAAACATGGATTGAATGCAATATGTGTCAAAACTGGGCTCATCAATTATGTGCTGATTACAACAGAGGTATCTATATTTGCGACAAATGCAAGTTATCAGTTTTGAGTTCCTTGAAATAAATAACTGTTAATAGACTTCCACTTTTAGTTATGTTTGAAATAAAGCTCTTCTTGCCCATATGTATTTCATACGCTGATCACTTTTGCCCGAGGCGTTGGTTCTTATTGCCCTCATATGTGGGCAAAAGGAATCAAAAGCAAGTTTTCGTTTAATCTTTTTTTTTAAGATATATTACCATAATTATACCTTTGTATAATCACTGATCAACAGCCAAAAAATATCCTAAATAAAATCAACAAAATATTACTATTTTTAATGTGCTAAAACCGGAATGAAACTTATTTTTTCAATATTAGTTCAAGATTTAGAGATACGGTAATTATATGTCTTCCTGCTGTGACAGTGCTAATATACTGTAATTCACAAGAATGCACGTGCTACATTTTTATATTCGGCAAGGAAAGATGATGTAATCGGAATGATTGTGTTACGTTATACATACGTGTACATTATATTGTTTTATATTAGCCATTTTTTCCTCAATTGGCTGACAGCGTTCATGCAAGATGTCTCGAAAGTGTGTAAACAATCCAGATCAGTTTTGTTACGTGTGTAGTGATGTGACTTTTGCATCTCAGAGACGGTCTATTACTCCCCTAATAACAAAGGCATATCAGCTTTATTTCGGTTGTAAACTAGGTGATCAAGACAAACATTGGGCACCCCACATCTGCTGTAATACATGTGCTTCAAATCTGAGGAGCTGGTTAAATGGCAAAAAACGGTCTATGCGCTTTGCTGTCCCAATGGTTTGAAGAGAGCCTACAAATCATATTAATGATTGTTACTTTTGCATGGGACCTTATGCTGGACAAACCACAGGTATGTCCAAGAAAAAGAAATCGGTTATTAACTACCCAAACATACCATCTGCGATGAGACCTGTGCCTCACAGTGACGAAAATCCTATTCCACAACCCCCAGAATCCTACACTTGCGAATCAGAAAACGATTCAGATCATGGCGATCGAGTGATTCGTCAGGAAGAAGATATGCCATCAACGTCAAGAGATCCTGATTTTATACCGAGCACGTCATGCCACCAACCGCACAAAATAACACAGTCAGAATTAAGTGATCTTGTAAGAGATTTAGAACTTCCAAAATTTAAGGCAGAGTTACTTGGATCAAGACTGTAGCAGTGGAACTTGTTAGAAGACGATGTTTCGGTATGTGTTTTTCGTAAACGCCATAAAGACTTAGAACCATTTTTCAATATGGAGAATAACTTGGTTTTCTGCAGTAACATTAACGGCTTACTGGCGGCTTTAAATATAAACTATAACCCAGAAGAATGGAGATTGTTTATAGACAGTTCAACATTGAGTTTAAAGCCAGTGTTATTGCATATTGGAAATATTTTACCATCTGTTCCTGTAGGGTATGCAGTTCACATGAAAGAATCATATGACAATATGAAGTACCTATTGACATGCACAAAATACGATGAGCACCAATGGCATATTTGTGGCGATTTGAAAGTTGTTGGACTTTTACTTGGGCTGCAGCTAGGCTACACAAAGTTTTGCTGTTTTTTGTGTGAATGGGACAGTCGGGCAAAGGAACTTCATTACACCAGACAAAACTGGCCTGTTCGTCAATTCCTAGAGCCAGGTCAAAAAAATGTACAGCATATGCCATTAGTAGATTCGAAAAAAAATTTATTACCACCATTGCATATCAAGTTGGGCCTAATGAAAAACTTTGTCAAGGCATTAGATAGAGATGGGTCAGCTTTTCAATACCTGCGTCAGAAATTTCCAAGACTAAGTGAGGCAAAGGTTAAAGAAGGTATTTTTGTTGGGCCACAGATTCGAAATATTTTGAAAGATACACAGTTTGAAAACACTTTAACAGGTATTGAAAAAACTGCTTGGAATGATTTCCGTCTGGTGGTCACTAATTTCTTGGAAAATAGAAAAGCTGACAACTATAACATCGTATCAAAAGATGGGCAGTAATATGTCTCTTAAGATACATTTCCTACACTCACACCTGGACTTTTTTCCTGACAATTGCGGAGCCGTAAGTGATGAGCACGGCGAACGTTTTCATCAGGATATTTCAACAATGGAAAAAAGGTACCAGGGAAAGTGGAATCCTTCCATGCTGTTGGACTCTTGGTAGAGATGCTCCAAAAACGATCCATAAAAGAACAGCAAAAAGACAGCGCATATAGAGATTCTTATAAGTATATGAATCTTGTTACTTTTTTAATATATCCTTAAAAATAAAAAGTTTTTTTTCTAAACCGCAAGTAATTTTTTTATTTCATTGTCATTTTTAGATTCAGCGCCCCAAAATTAACAACGAAGTGCACTTTTCCCACAAGATACAATTAAAAAACTAAAATTTGTTGTCCAGTGTAATACATATTTTGTTTCTAAATGTAATAGAGTCTTATTTCCCATTAAAAAAATAACAATTAGGATTTAATAGAAGATTTTAAAAGCTGGCGACTTAAGGTGGTTCCTTTTGCCCAAGGCTCCCCTATATAGTCTGATTTGGCTGTTTTGAATTCTCTAGTGTATTCTTCTGGAGGAAGTGCTGATGTTAAATTAAAGCTATCGAGCATATCACTCAAAATCAATTTGCTGTTCGAGTTGCTTAGCCAGTCTATGTTCAGATCGCCACCAACTATGATATTATTAAAATCTTTAGACACGCTACATAGCACAGAGTTAATTTTTTTTAAAAACGTATATACACTACTGTAAGGAGAGCGGTAAAATACTAACACCGCAATTTTTTCAATGCCGACTGTTGCACATACACACGCACTTTTACAGATATTTTCTTTGACTACGTTTTGAAGGAGATTGACTGGTTTACATAACAGATTTGATTGGCAATATATGGAAATACCACCATGTATTGATTCTTCTTCTTCTTCTTCCTACTTCATTAATAGGCTCAAGCCTGTTTACTTCTGTTTTTAGGCTGAATTGATGTTGTCTGACCATCTTTTCCTCGGTCGTCCCATTGATCTTCTTCCATTTGGCAATTTGTCTCTTGCTGTTAATGTATTGATTCTTGTCTACAAAAACTGTCCACAAGATTCATATTTGAGATGCCGGTTACACGAATCTGTGTCAACTAAATGCGCGGTTACTTCATGAAATAATCAAATCGTAAAATATTCACATTAGTTACCGATAGAGGCGTTAGCAGCGCTTTATTTATTTTTTAAAACGGCAGTCGTTAATCACCAGTTGTTTTTCGAAGTTAAAATTCTAATAACTCGTTACCAAATGAGATACTATGTGAGTCTCGCAAGTACTAACCAAAACGTCAAAAAGCCGTGGAGTTTCGGACGCATTTCTTTCTTAAATTCATCGTGATTTTTATTTCATTTTTAGGTCAAATAAAGCACAACACGGGTAATAGATTAGACTGTGATATCTGATATGTTCAACAATTTGATCTTGACACGTTGTGCAATTTAAATTTTTTTAATGTACTTATTTTATTTTGATTTTTTACAGTTACTAGTTTAAAAGTGAATTTCATAAACATTAATATTTAACGGACACTTGGACCGATGTGAAAAGCCTTATCGAAATGCAATTTGACGGAAGCTGTCAAAGCTCTCTGAATATAAGAGGTTTCTATTAAAATATTGGATGAAATCGTGAAAAAGCGACTATATTCTAAACAAGAGCACTTTTTGATTCCAACATGATGCTTTTGTACACAGAAAACAGGAACAGTACAACTTTCATGTTTTTTGCCGTTTCTTATCAATTCACAAATAGTAGGTCGATTATATGTTTAGCCATTGGGATTGCAACAAATAATAGGTAGATTTACTAGCTATTAAATTTAATAACAGGTTTGGACGTTTGTTAATGCATGGCAACCTCGAATTTCTTTAGTTCATATACTAAGTATTTACATGTTATCATTATAGCTACATACGAGTACCTGTTGAAATGTGCGGATTTGCAAGAAAATAGAATATAAATTATATTCCAGCTAATTCCTCATCTTTCTTTACATCATAATAGTAATTTGTTATACATTTATGGGTTGATGAATTTCTTCAAAGTAATCAAAATACCTTGTCCTCTCCATCCTAAATCACTGATATGTGTAAAACCTGTCTATCCCTACATCTCCGTTGTGCATGATGTAATTACTATGGACATGGACAAAAAATTATGAGTAATTAGTATGATATAATAACTATAATATATAATAACTATATGATTTGGCGGCTTTGTTGACCGGTGGAGACACAAAACATAATATACTGAAGAAGATATAATTCCATCCTAATCAAGGGCAACACGGCTGACTTATGTCATTGTCAGAACGAATAAGTACTTTTTTGTATGTTAAAATCATATCTACTTAGTAACCTGGAAAGGTTCAGAAAAGTGCTAGACGCTTCGTCTCCTGATCAGTCGCCGTGCGCTGAGAGGGCTTGAATCCCGTCCCAAGAGACATTTTTTCCGTGTCTATGGATG